CACTAGTTAACATTTTATCTGTAAAGGTAAAGAACTTGGGTTATTTGGGTTAGTTAGTTGGTTTAGTTAGTTAGTTGGGTTAGTTTGGTTTTGGGAACTGAATGTTCAAGTCACAAACAGCGGTGAAGGCAGGAAAATGAAATGGGGACATCTTGTGAATCCGTTTTTGAATTTGCCAATGCTCACTTAGATTAAGAGCTTTGTTTTCAAACTCCTGATCCGCTGTGAGCAACTGGTGGAAAGTCCCATGAAGATGTGCTGAACAGTCTCAAAAGTGTACTTGTGTTCTTTTGGAAACTCAATGTTCAGGGCATAGAGTAGACCAAAAAGGTAGACAAATGCAGTTGGGATGTCTGGTAGATCCGAGAGTACAATTGTCTCTTCCAAAACAACAGCAATACTGTTGACCATTTGAGACGGGGTAGGTCCACCATCATCTACGAGAACAGTGAGGACTCCCATCTTGACACCAGCAGTCTGCTTTTCTTCCGGATCAGTGTCCTGCATGTAGAAAGCAGATAAGCAATTATTATTTACCAAATAAGGATATTATATAACTGCAAATAAAACACTGGTTTGATTGCTCAGCAATGACACAATAATTACTGTGAAAATGTTAACTGTTCTGTTGTACAACTAGTTCACTAGTAGTTCTGTAGCAGGTCTAGTATTTATCCTGAGACTCGGGCTTCATCTTCAAAACAGATTTATCTATGATTATAGGAAAACTTAATAACTGCACTTGTATGACATTAAATGTAGACTTATGATTAATGGACAACCATACTGTACACACCAGGCATTTCAGGAAGAGCTTCTCTGCACTGTCACGGACAAATAAGGGCAGACCTTCCAGACACATTCTCATTCGTTGCTGTCAGATGTCTGTAAATCAGAAAAACAGAGCATTAGGATTTATGGTTAAAATGAGTGATTAAAGGGTCATTTCAGAATCTCAGAAGTCAGAATCCATTTGTGATTTATTTAAAACGGCAAGTCTTCTCTGAACAAAAGAACTTTGCAATAGTTGTTTGAACCGGAAGAGAGATTGAATTATTAAACAGGACTTATGTAAACTTTGTTGATGAGGTAAAAGTGAAGTAAGTAACAAGATATGATGCTTTTACAAGATAGGACACCCCTTTTAGATATAAATGGATTTTAACTTTTTTTAATAACTTTCACATCTATTGAGTTACGAGAAGTGTATTTTTGAGGCAACAGAAAACTTCACATTTGACATTCAAAATCAAAGATTTTTCGAGTCATTTGTCTCAAAATGTGTCAGCTGAAATGTTCTAATTATGTGATACTGCATTTTGGGTTATAAAAAAGGTGTAAACTGTAGTCATCCAGATTAAAACAAATAAACGCTTTAAATAATTCATTTTGTGTCTAATGCACCTATATAAAATATAAGTTTCACTCTTCAAATAGAATTACTGAAATTATTCAACTTTTCCACGATATTCTAATTTATTGAGATGCACCTGTTTGTTCTCTTTAAGAATATTGTAAATTATCATTACGACATTAAAGACAAAAGCTACCTGTTCATCAAGAGACTCCAATAGGTTTTCCATCCCTTGTCCGAAGGCTCCTTTCCTGGCTCTATACAGCTTTATCAGTCGAGGACAGTATTCATCCAAGGCTGCTGTAAATGTCCCAAACAGGTCCTTGGTAGTGATTCGAAGGAACTCATAGCAAATCTGTGGTACACAAAAATAGCATAAAAACAAAAGCATTAATACAATGAATGACAGTTTGTAGTCCTTTCAGAATTACTGTAGAAGCCATTTATATTGATGTTGGCATTTCAGTTTATTTAGTTTGGCTTAAGGGTAATGTACTATTTTGAAAAACTGGTACTGTACAACTCAAGAGAATAAAAGTCAAACTAAACTGTAATCTCTGCGTAAAATCACTCCCACAACTCACCTGTGAATAATGGAAATGGCCACTACAATTACTTTATATTATTAATCACTGTATCATTTATCATGTAACATTTAATGGCTGGTCAATATCTTGAGCTTCAAAGGCCTCATTTTCAGAATGCAGTTTTAAACACGTCCTTATTTTGTCTGTGTTCCTGTGCTTTCTGCAACGATGTGAACTAAAGGTTTTACATTTGTTCGTTTTAAATCCACAGCTGAGGAAGGGGCACTTCACAGTCTGTTGTTTTTTTAAATGATTTCCAAGATGAGTGAAAAACGTCTTTTGAGTACACTTTTCTCTGAAGTCACATAGCTAAAAAAAAAAGGTGCCGGTGTCTTGCCTTGATGCAGTCTTGCAGTGGGATCTGGTGAGGTGTGACCTCAATGCCCCATAGGTTCTGAAGGTGCAGACAGTCAGTGTAGGCACAGGGCCAGTGATTTCCTCTTCCGTGCCGAAGTCGATGGTGCCTCAGTACACTCTCATGACTTGAGCTGACGAAATCACAATATATTTGCATTTCATATGATATCTGTAATTAGAATTAAAAAGCCAAAATGGTCAATTGACCTTTCACAGTTTTTTGCTGCAATACATAGATATACACAAACTGTGTATGATATATATATATGGTGGGTCTGCAACCTTTACTATCACAAGAGCCCCATTTCAACAAAAAATAAATATCTGTAGCCGCAGAACACATTTGATAACACAAATCATAAACTAAAGATATAGTTGGTGTATTTACAGTCTACAAAAACTACAGCTTGTTGCATTTATTTAAGAATGGCATTAAAAAGGAAACCGTTGTTTATTGCTATTTTGTGATAACGGAATAAAACACTAAACTTGCCAGATTTGCTCCAGTTTGTGACTCTTACAACCTCAGATCCAGTGCCTGGATACGGTTCCAGGTTCCTGCTGTGCGGACTGAGGCTGGGAAAAGGAGTCTTTTTTATTGTGGTCCTTGGTCTTGGAATGACCTTCAATCACGCCTCAAACTGACCGCACATGTCTCAATAGCATGTTTTAAATGTAAGTTGTCCGAGGTCCTTACCACCAGCTGCTCTTGCAGTAATAAGTAGTACCTTTCTTACTGTCCTACGCTAACGCTAATATGCACCATCGTATATTTTTCAAGCTAAAAGCCGACCATGTGGCAGACAACACACGTCCATGTTAGCATACCTTTGCAAATCAGCCGAACCTCAGCGTCCCAAAGGTTTTCCCTCCTGGAGCTCCGTTAGCGCGCCAGTCGCCACCTGAACCGGGGATTGTAGTTGTTCATATAGGCCGCTTCAACACACTCCGTCGTCTCGACTCCGTCTGTCTGCTGCACTGACGGGGACAGAGAAATGACTGTTACCACCTATCAGACATGTCGATCTATGAAGCTGTAACACGTGTAACCTTAAATGTTGTTTAACATTTCACATTAACATTTAAAATAATATCGTTGGAGCTACGGTGAAAACATGTTTGCTGATATCGTGCTCTTAAACGGTTGATTCCCTCGCACACATTACATTCTAGTTGATCGTTAACTCACGGTAATCCTCCCTTAATTATGCAGTCCGTCTTTTACCATATATTCTGGCCATAAAACAGTTTGACGTTCTGTTTCCTCTCTCACGCCAGGCTCGACATGACAGACCCGCATGCATGGATGTATAATAGGAACCCGCATGTCCTCAATGCTGGCCGAGAGACGGGTTACCAGAATATTGCTAAAACCCCCATTCATAGTTATATTTTTCTGCCACTGATATTCAACTTGTATGTGCTAAGCTAACAGCCGACCACGTTTATGGCTACACTTGTCCATCGTAGCATACCTTAGACGTCTAGGGCCAGACATGATAAACGTTTCTAAAACATTTTTCCTGTTGAAGAGAAGCGTTAGCTAGCTAATGTTAAACTCGGCTAATGTACCACAAACTAAAATCTAGTGCCACATTAACTGATAATTCACTAACAATCAACTAAATAATTCGCAATCAATTAATGTTACACTTTAAATCAGTCATTTTCTATATTCATAATTTCAATACAACATTCAAACAAAGTGCTCACCTTGAGGATGATCAGTCCCGTTGAGAACAGCAGAGTGCCACTGCCGAACATGTAAAGGCGAAATACTGTAGAAAACCCCCTGCAGATTTCTGTTGGAGACCCCTGTTCTTAGCTCGAAGCATACACAAAGAACTTAGTTTGAACTCTAACCTTGGATTTTTAAGTTTTGCCAACTGAATTTATTAAATGACACACACTTTAAACAAGCAACATAATAAAGATAGTCGAGAGAACTACTTTAATGTAGTAAGCAACTCAATTCAATATTTTTTGTTCACTTTACAAACAAATTATTTTCAGGCCAACAATTTTAAGTTTGCGTTTTTACAGTGTAGGTACCTTGTCCCAAATGTGCTCCCAATTCATTTCAATGAACATTGCTAACCATGCACATAAACCCTTAAACGTTTGGAACAGTTCTTCCTGGACTTTTGTTTGCCCCTTTGTCACTCAACACATTACATTACATTACATTGCATTTAGCTGACGCTTTTATCCAAAGCGAATTACAATAAGTGCGTTCGACCAACAAAATACAAACTTGAAGAAAACAGAATCATATAAGTACATCAGGTTTCATAGAGCTAAAACATTTCAAGTGCTACTCAACTGGCTTTAGATAAGCCAGCCCTTTATTAGTATATAAGTGCTTTGTTAATAGTTCTATCGCTCGAAGTGGAGTCGAAAGAGATGAGTTTTCAGTCTGCGCCGGAAGGTGTGTAAGCTATCTGCTGTCCTGATGTCAATGGGGAGCTCATTCCACCATTTTGGAGCCAGGATAGCAAACCCACGTGTTTTTGCTGATGGGAACTTGGGTCCCCTTCGCAGCGAGGGTGCAGCGAGCCGTTTGGTTGATGCAGAGCGGAGTGCACGTGCTGGGGTATACGGTTTAACCATGTCCTGGATGTAGGAAGGGCCAGATCCGTTCGCAGCATGGTAAGCAAGTACCATTGTCTTGAAGTGGATTCTAGCAGTTATCGGAAGCCAGTGGAGGGAGCGGAGGAGCGGCGTGGTGTGGGAGAATTTAGGAAGATTGAAGACCAGACGAGCAGCTGCATTCTGGATGAGCTGCAGAGGTCGGATGGCACATGCAGGTAGACCAGCCAGGAGGGAGTTGCAGTAGTCTAGGCGTGAGATGACGAGAGCCTGGACCAGAACCTGCGTCGCTTTCTGGGTCAGCTGGGGACGCATCCTCCTGATGTTGTAAAGCGTGTATCTGCACTGCTGCAGATACACGCTGGTTGTAGCAGCTATGTTTGCAGTGAAGGACAGGTTGTTATCTAGGATCACACCCAGATTCCTTGCAGTCTGAGTCGGGGAAACAACAGAGGTGCCAATGTTGATTGTTAGGTCAAGAGTGGGACAATCTTTTCCCGGAAGGAAAAGCAGTTCAGTCTTGTCAAGGTTGAGCTTGAGGTGATGATCAGACATCCATTGAGAGATGTCAGCTAGACAAGCAGAGATGCGTGCGACGACCTGGGTCTCTGAGCGGGGAAAGGACAGAATTAATTGGGTGTCGTCAGCGTAGCAGTGGTATGAAAAACCATGCGGGCTAATGACTGATCCGAGCGAGTTTGTGTACAAGGAGAAGAGGAGGGGACCAAGAACAGAGCCCTGAGGGACCCCTGTAGTTAATTGACAAGGGTCGGACTCGGACCCTCTCCAAGTAACCCTGTAGGTGCGGTCTTTGAGGTATGAGGTGAGGAGGGAAAGTGCAGAGCCTGAAACTCCAAGTGCTTGGAGAGTGCGAAGGAGGATCTGATGATTCACCGTGTCGAATGCAGCAGACAGGTCCAAAAGGATGATGACAGAGGAGAGGGAGGCTGCTTTAGCAGTGTGCAGTTCCTCAGTGACAGCAAGGAGGGCAGTTTCTGTGGAGTGACCTGCCTTGAAACCAGACTGGTGCGGATCCAGAAGGTTGTTCTGATTGAGATAACAGGAGAGTTGTTTAAAGACAGCGCGTTCAAGTGATTTAGACAGGAACGGGAGGAGAGAGACAGGCCTGTAGTTTATAACATCAGACAGGTTGAGAGTGGGTTTCTTTAGGAGAGGGTTTACTCTTGCCTCCTTGAGACTGTGTGGAAAGTGACCAGAAGTTAGAGAAGTGTTGATGAAATGGGTGAGAAACGGTAAAATATCAGGAGCGATAGTCTGAAGGAGGTTTGAAGGGATAGGGTCCAGAGAACAGGTGGTAGGGCGGGCAGAGGTAATGAGGGTAAGAACCTCACTTGGAGAGGGGAAAAGGAGGTCAGTGTGTGGGTGAAAGGAGGGTCTGGTGACCCAGCAGTGAGTAGAGGTGAGTCAGAAAAAGAAGAGCGAATATCATCAACCTTTTTTTCAAAGTGGTTAACAAAGTCGCTGGATTGAAGGGAGGAGGGGGAATGGGCTTTGGGGGGGTCCAGGAGGGAGGAGAAGATGGAAAATAGTTTTTTGGGATTTGAATAGGAAGATTGGATCTTATCTTGAAAGAAAGTGCTTTTTGCCTGAGAGATCGAAGCAGAGAAAGAGGAGAGGAGAGCCTGATAGGTTAGGAGGTCGTCACGGTGTTTGGATTTCCACCATTTCCGCTCTGCTGCCCGAAGGACGGTTCTATTAGCACGCAGTGCATCATTTAGCCAGGGAGCAGGAGGGTACTGACGAGCCTGCCGAGATGTGAGAGGACAGAGAGAGTCCAGAGAGGATGAGAGAGTAGAGAG